GGGGGTGGGCGGGTGGGGTGGTGGGGGATTTTTCATACAAAAGGAGAAAGCACTATGTAGAGATCCAATCAGCGCATTTTTTGACTGCAGTTACATTCCCTCGTGCATCTTATAGTAAAATTTGATGAATGTTCATTAGCTGTCACATTAAAATACAGCAAGTGTAATTGGTTAAAGTTGGCTGAATGTTAGGAAATGTTCAGCTAGTGAATGTGCTATAAAACTTACACCAGCGAGCTTGTCAATTAGAGTTTTATAAAGACCCTTTGTTTGGGAAGACTAATTTTAGGTCCAGAATGGTTCATTAAAAAGCTGAAAATTACTAGTGAAACTTTGTTTTTGATTATTGTAGGCCTACAGCAGCATAGAGGGGAGGGGATGGAGGACAAAGCTGCGGGGATGGATGTGCAAGTGTTGGTAGACATATGTGATATGACATGAATAATCTTTGATAGGAGGTACTCTGGGCTGCTGCACAGGTTTTCCTGAATGCACAGCTGGGAGGGGAGGATCCCAACAATATTGTCAGGATCGCATCTCAGCACAGCACTTAGCCCCACCCACAGTGTATTACATGGAATTACAAGATTATGTGGATTTATGATTACGTGAGTACATAGTAAAGTGTAAAAATTAGGAAACTATAAATGCAAAAAAAACAAAACTACTCCATAGTTCTCTTTAAACTAAATCAAATGATTTTGCTTGCTTTCTTTCACTACACCTCTCCCAGTATCACATTGCATGGAGAAAAATTACTGAACTGTGCTTTTAGCCCTGGGGTCTGTCTACTACTTTGTACTTACTTGAGCTTATATGATAGTTCTTCTATGTTTACATTGATATGTTCTATGTTCACATTCCATTGTCAGCTACAATTGCACTCCAAGTAGACAAGCAAGATAGGTGCTTAAAATGTGATTATTTCCTGTATAGAAAAACTCATGATTTTATAGGCATACAGCAATAACACAAGTACCTAATACTATTTACAGAGATAATTATTTCACTGATGTTTAATGAAAACTGTGTATTTGTCAAAGGCTGGCTTTACTTTAGATACCTCTAATCTGTTACTACTATTGGAAGTTTAGAGAAACATTTGGTTTGGATGAGTGGTCTCTTATGTGACAAACCTAGGTGTGAAAAAAATATAAGTGGGTGTTGGCATAGCTCTTCTTAGATCTTTTTATTAAAAGAAACAACCTCACATTAATTTAATGTTCAGCACTAGACACTGAATAGTGATAAATGGAAGCATGTACTCTTATCATAGGCAGACTTGCTTCCTGATAATACACTTGTCTATACTCAACATCAGAAATACATTGGCAACATCAATACATTGGCAACATCAATGGCCATCTACGTTAATTTAGTCCTGCTTCAAGAGAGGTTCATAGTTTCAAGGTATTATGCTATTTGAAGTTTTGATTTAAGTGAACAGTATTTGTTTAAAGTACAATTAAACCTTCATTTTGTTTTGCATAAATCTTCTGCTAGCAAGCAGTAGATATATGCAAAAACATAAAAAATGAAAAAAGTTACAAAATAGTAAAAACGTACTTACTTAACTACCTGTAAAGGATCATGGGGCGGGAGCATGCGCAGTAGAGATCTTCGGCTGGGAGAAGAGGAGAGACACAGGGTAAGTCAATGCATTCAGCCAGCAGCGTGCATGCGGACAGACACCGTGGGGCCTGAGGAGTCTACGCTGGATCAAAGACTGGCACCAGCACTGGAGTGACTCCTTAAAACTACTGGAAAGAAGAAGATGATCAGATCAAGAGGCATCATTTATGGTGAGTCCTTAAAGCAGCAATGGGGGGGGGGAGTGATGTGACTTTAGTGTCACTTTAGGTAACAAACCAAGATGTGAAATACCCATCATCATTTTATTCATGAAGACGGCTACTTCTGTATAGATGTATTATTAATTACATTTGGTAATGTAAGCCGATCACAAACTTGGGTGATTGAGATTATAATAGTGAAATAGTGATGCTTCCTGTAATAATTGGGCTTAGTCCCATCCTCCCATCCTTTCTCTTGAACTCCATATTGGTCTTTTAATGCAAGGGGTGGCCCTTTTGACTATGGACTAGGTTAATTGGTAGAATAGAATGAAATTAAACTCAGCTTGCATAAAAAGTTGAGTTTTGCATATAGCATTACACCCTAAGGAGCCGCTGGATAGATGGGTCCGTCTGTCTTCCCTCAGTTATGACACCCCCCTAACCTGACGCAGGACCCACTGTCACATCAGTAGTGTTCAATCAGTTTTATTAACAAACTAAAATTCTGCAGAAAAAAGGGTTTGTTAAGGCAGCAGAGGCCCTATCAATGTCATTAGCTAGTGGGACTAAATACAGTCTGCCAGCATTGGGGCCCTCAGTCTCTTGTTGGGGCACTCAAACTGGGGGGCAGCAAGTGCAGTAAACTCTGGTGGCCAAGTCTGTCCTTTAAAGGCCAGGCAAGAGGTTGCACCACATGTGCAGTGCTACTCTCTCAAACTGGTGTTAGTTCAGCAGCAGCACAGCTCAGTCCTCACCCTCAGAGGTCTTGAAAACCACATCACAGTTCTGGTCTATGTTTTTTGTGGCTCTGCCCTATATTGATTTGCAACTGTAGCTTTCTGAAGTCAGTTTTCACTCAGGGTCCCACAGCTATGAAGCAGCTCCCTGCCTTTAGCTTCCAGTCCTGCTCCCTGCGATATCCAGCTTCTTCTGGCTCAGGTAGTGGGCCTCCCTTCTCATGGTGGCCGCCAATCACGGTCCTCCCTCCCCATTGCTAAAACCGAATCTAGTTCTAGGCTGCAACTGCAGCCAATCAGCATCATCCTGGAATCTTTTCCTTTTCCTTCGCTCTGTGCCATTAACAGGGGTGATCTGTGGAAGGTTTAATTTAGGCAGTGGTGATAAATGGACTGCATTACTTCATTACAATGCATATTTATGTCCTTACTATCAGTATAACTGATCTTATTACTGTCTAAAAAGGAATGTAGACATTTCATCTACTGTCCTTGTACTAAAGGTTTTGCACATATTGTTTGTGATCCTCTGCAAATCTGCCAGCAACTTTTATTATTTCTGCTACCATTGTTTCAGCATGTGTGGGAGATCTGTGATAATTACAGATGGTAAAAAACAAAGATCTGTATAGCTATTTGTTGTGTGCTGTCAAACCTTAACCTTTTTTTGTGTGTGCTGTACATGACATTTTTCCATCAAAGGCAAGCTTCTGTATTGTTGAGTGCATTTATTTTATTATGTGCATACAGCAGTACACTAGCAACATTATCCAAGGTGTGAATTGTTTAAATTCCAGGATAGAGATAAAAAATATATAAAATGTATTTAAGGATTGTAGATTTTGAATTAATATTAATAACTACTTCATGTTACAATCGTATTTGAGAATATTTACAACTTACAAAACATACATATCTATAAAGTGTATCTAAACCCAAAAGCAAATATTATACATATATCCAATTTTACTGTTGCTATAACTACTTAAAACAGACCTTTATACTCAAAAATCAAATTCTACCAATTATTCCCTCTATGTATGATGATTTCTAGACATAGACATGTCAGGTTTAAAATGCTGTGATTTGGAAATACTTACACTTGCAGAGTATTCGCTTCCTGCTTTAAAATGGCAAAATGACTTCAGTTTGGTAAAGCAATGGACACTGGGATTACCTTGTCATCAGCAGAGCATTGCTGGGACATCTAATCTGTAATCTCACAAGATCTCAGGGAAAGGCATTTTCCTCCCTCGAGATGATGTGCATGGTCACATGTCCTAGTCGCATGTCTAGTCACATGTGCCAAACATCCAGGAAGTAATAGGAGAGCTAGCACCATGCCCTTAGTAAACATGGCCACTGTCAGAAGTATGGAAAGAAAAGAGAAATAAGGTATGCAAAGAATACAAAGCTGGAAATAATCTAGAAGTATGTGTTTGTAGATTGTCCTTACTAAACATTTCTAAAGGTGTGATTATTGTTATTTTAAAGATATGGGTAAAGGTCCGCTTTAAAAATGTCAGCTGGATTTCAGTTTTAATTTGTTAGTCAAATCCATCTAAATTTGCTAGTGCACCTGACACTACCCTCTCAACTAGTTGACAATGCTGCTGTCCAAGGGTGGCTCCATTGCTCCTCCATAGAGTGGAGCTACGCTATGACAGAAAGGAAATTCTGAAACCTGAAAAAAAGAAAACTAATGCAGCCACCACATAGTATATATAAGTATATACAAGTGTAGTAAATGCTTGTTTTGGGTTTCGATACACTTTAGGAATAATATATACAATATATGGTCTTGTTCTGGGCTCTGAAAAAATGGTGCATTACCAGGTCACATGGTTCCACTCTTGGCTCAGATAACATGGTTTAGGCTATGCTAACATGGTCCCATTCTTGGCTTTGTTAAATTGGTTATGGATCAGGTAACATGGCCTTATTCTTCATTCTGAGACTGATCATATTCTTGGCTCCAATATACCATTGATACCATTGGAATTAGGCTGAAACCTCTGATAACATGATTCTGGATTTCTTTAAATGTTCTCGTTTTTGTCTCTGGTTTCATGGTTCTGAATGTATTAACATTGTGCCATTCTTGCCTCTAATTGGATGGCTGTGGATCTGGTAACATAGTCCCATTCTTGGCTGTTGTAACATGTTTATGGATGGATCTAGTAACATGGTCTTATTCTTAGCTCATGATTATGAATCTGGTAGGATGGTATTCTTGACTCTGATAGCATGAATATGAATTTGGTAGCATGGTTCCATTTTAGGCACTGATAACATGATAATGGATCTGGTAAAATGGTCTCCTTATAGGCTCTAATGTTATAGCTCTGGGTCTGGTAACATGGCCCTTACACCTGGAAACATGGTTCTGACTCTGGTAACATGGGTTCATTACTGGCTCTGATAATATTCTTTAGGCTCTGAAAATATCATCTTGTCCCTACGTAGGAAAATTAGGTTCTCTGGAATCAACAAAGCATTTTAATATATACATATACTATTTTGTCACCATGGGAAAAAATCTTGTAAATATGTGTTATTACATATTATTTTTAATACTTTTTTAACCACTTTTATGATCTACCCAAGGTTTTAGTAGTAAACCTTTATTATGTTTGTAGAAGTAAAAAAATAGTTTTCTCCATTATCTTCTTTTTTTTTTACAGCTGGAGATTTTAAATTTCACTAAAATATAATATTAGATAAAGGGCATGTATGGACACAAGTAGCACTTTTTCAAAATGTATAGCCAGGTGTATAATTCCATAATTTTTTGATTCAGCTTTACAGCTTCACATGTCACTTGCCTTCTCATTGAAACAATTTGATAATACCAATTCACTATCCAGTGCACAGACTGTAGGCCAGGAGATGACACTCAAAGCTGAACCAAGATATATCTAGATGTGACAGCTGTAGCCTATCCTGAGCCACAGTTCCCTCCCAGTGGTTTCTAAACCCTGCTAGCCGATCATTCAATCTGCACACAGCCCCATTAACTGCTATATCAGAAAAATGTGTGTGCAAAAGGAACGGTCAAAC